CCCAGACTCTGGTCACCTCCAGGAATACAAGAGGACTTCCCAAAGCTCATGGAAAATGGATTGAAAAGATGAGTTTATTTTGGTGCAAAAACATTTTGAAACCCATGCATAACTTTTTCATCATATACATTTCCCGTGAATGCTTTGAGGCTCTCTTGTGTGCGCAGGTGCCCACTCTGTGAGACAGACAAGATCCGCACCTGCCTGTGGGGGTCACGTCAGGTTGCTCCTGGCTCTCTGGTCTTTTCTACAGGAAAAGGCCCTTAGTGTCTGTCCCTACTCTTTGAAACAGTCCTTGGAAGAAAAGGATTCAGATTTACTCACTCCTGGCTCAACAACCAGCCCCCATTCATGCCCCCACAAGTGCACCTCTGAAGCTCTTTCACTCACCCACAGCAGGGCATCCTGTCTCACCCTGTAGCAGGCTGCCAGTGTGGGACCTTCAGTCATGCACACAGAGAAAAAGCTGAAGACAAGATGGGCAGCACCCCACGCACACCCACCCCCCGTGAAATGCTGCCTGGGCATGACAATCATTGAGACGAACCAGAGACCTGCCCGGAGTGGTGAGGATGACACAGAGAAAGAACCATCCCAATGGCATGGTCAGATCATGGTTGGGCACCTAGAAGTAGGCTTGTCGAAGCCTCCAGAAACAGAGTGCATCAAAGTTGAACATCAGGGTAGGCTGCTGGTAGAGCAGGTGCTGGGTGTCAAAGGGTAAGCAGGAGTTCATCAGGCAGCTAAGGAGGGAAAAAGATCCCAGACAGAAGAAAGGCTACCATGTAGAGGCATAGAGGCTTGGGGTAGGAGGAGAGTGCAGTGTGCACAGCAAACCCCAGGAACGTTCCTCCCAGCCACACATGAGGGGTGAGGCGAGATCAAGAGCAACAGGACCGCAGGGGACTTGATGCCATGGGAAGCAGGGTGGAGGTTTTGGGTAACTGGGTGGCAGAGTGGTTCGAGCAGAGGAACACCATGATCCAACGTGCATTTTGGAACTCACACTCCTGCAGAAGAGACAGGATCAGAGAGATGAAGATGAGATGCTGGAGAATTCATTAAGGGGTTTTTTCAGTAGGGCAGGAAAATTGATGAGGCCCCAAGCTCTGAGGCCAGGAGGACATAGAGGAAGAGAAGATCGGGAGGAAAAGGAGATGGAGCTGACCAATCGGGACAGAGACCTGTGTGGTGGGTGGAGTACGGGAGGTGTGCCTCCCGGGGTGCCAAGGAAAGCAGGGTCTGAATTGGATCTCCCAGATTTGTGGAGTAGAGGACTGAGGACAAGCAACTGTGGCAGAGGAGTAGGGGAATAATCGGAATACTGTTGGCCGAGCAGGGAAAGGACAGCCAGTGTGGACTCTGCCCTGGGGAAATGAGGCTGGAAAGTGAAGAGAGGGTGGGCAATGTGGGAAGAAGTCAGGTGAGACGATGCTGTTTTGGTTTGACAGAGACAAAGACTTTGGGGAGTTGAAGCTAAGAAGCTGGATTTGTGGAGAGGGTGAGATTGAAGCTCAAGGGAGAGAGAGGAGAAAGTTGAAGGAAGGAGGTCTCTCAAGGACTGGGGGGATTGAGGGGGATCAGTCTCTGCCCCTCCACCCTGGGCTTCTTTCTGAATGACAGCTTCAGGGTGTCCTGAGAATTAGGTAAGACAATAGCTTTAAGAGACTGACCCAGTGCCTAGCATAGAACAAGCACTCAGTAATACACAGGGCGAAAGTTCCTGGGGAAGTGGAATTAAAAGGTAGAATTGAAGTGGGCACTTGGCTAGCAGTTAAGACCCCAGCTGGGACACTCACATGGCACATCCCAGTGCCAGGTCCAAGTCCCACCTCCATTCCTAAATCCAGATTCCTGCTACTGTGCACCTGGGGAGGCAGCGGGTGATGGCTTGAGTGGTTGGGAGATCCAGATTGAGATCCAGGCTCCCGGCTTTGGCCCCTGGCCTGGGGCCATTGCAGGCATTTGAAGAGTAAATCAATGGATGGGTACTCTGTCTCTCAAATACATAAGATCAATCAATAAATTTTTAAAATAAAATAAAATGTAAGTTTATTTTGGTATGAAAAGGTTTTTTTAAAAGATTTATTTATTTATTTGAAAGTCAGAAAGAGTTACACAGAGAGAGGAGAGGCAGAGAGAGGGAGAGAGAGAGAGAGAGAGAGAGAGAGATAGAGATCCTCCATCCGCTGGTTCACTCCCCAGATGGCTACAATGGCCTGAGCTGCGCCCATCTGAAGGAGTTTCTTCCGGGTTTCCCACACAGGTGCAGGGGCCAAGGATTTGAGCCATCTTCTCCACTGCTTTCCGAGGCCATAGCAGAGAACTGGATCGGAAGTGGAGCAGCTGGGACTCTAACCAGCGCCCACATGGGATGCTGGCACTGCAGGCGACTGCTTTACCCCCTATGCCACAGCGCTGGCCCCAATGTAGTTTTTTTCATAACACATAACACATATTTTACATCAATTTCTTGGAGACTTCTCATAGACATGGAGTTCAAAATTTTTTTGTACCAAAATAAGCTTATCTTGTGATTTCCATTTCCCATGACATATTTGAAGTACGCTTGTTTTTACATTGAGTGTGGGAAGCAGTGGCCTGTGGGTGAGGCTGGGCTCTGGCTGTCAAGGTGAGAGTCGCAGCCTTGGCCTTGACGACTGGGGGCTTGTGGTTCGAGTTCTATTACCCTGAAGCAGATCTCCACGTCCAGGACAGGCGTGGACCGAAACGCCTGAGAATGTGTGGTGAGAGACAGGGCCAGCCCAGCCCCGCGGGCTGCAGATGCCCCCGTGCAAGCCTGGTGCTGGTTTCGGGAGATGGATGTTTATTCCTGGGCAGATGGGTGGGGAATTCTGGAACGCCGTCTGTAAGACTTCAGCGCAAACGCTCCATGAATTCTGGCCTGTCACGGGCGTGCGTGAAAGCTGTGCTTTAGCTCTGGCCTAATGGGCTTTGTATAGCACAGTACTGATTTTCTTTCATGTTCTAATAGAATCCGATTTAATATTTGCTTTCTGCTCTTGCTGCTTGCTGGTGACGGATTCAGCACAGAATCCTCCCCTGGTGCCCCCAATCTTGTTGTTCTTCCCTCATTCTGTGTGCTGGCATATGATTGCTGTCTCCAACACGAACCCCTCTCCTCGACACATGGCTCCGTTCAGCTGGCGCCGGTCACGGGCATGGATTCTGCATGCGTTATTCCCCAAGTGGCTGCTCCAGCGCACTTGCCATTCCTTCCAGCTCCATGGGTCGGGCGTTGAGGATATGCAAGACTCAAGCCTGGAAACGGGAATCTACAGTCGGTTCTGTTCTTCGGCAGAGCTCTTTCCCTTCATCTCAATGTGCCCACTGCCCGTGGCCATTGAGCGGCCTTTTTTCACTCTCCTACATGGTACTGGGATTCCCGGAGTTCTGCCACAAGGCATTTCAGCTCTTGCCAGATTGCCAGCAGCAGCCATGGACAGAGCCGTCTGGAGAGGGGAGGCTGCCTCCCATCCTCCTGGCAGAATCCCAGTGAGCCAGGGTCTGTCTGGAGCGGGGCTATAGTTAAGAACATCAGCTGTGGACTCGGGCAGGTGTGGGTTTCCATACTGCCCACCTGCTCTTGGTGTCGCATTCTGGAACCTCTCTAAGCTTTGGTTTCACTTTCCATAAACTTGAGGTCGTTACTGTATCTTCCCAGCAGGGCTCTTGGGGGAATGAAATGAGGCAGTGCATGCAAAGCTGCTCCCTCAGTGTCTGGGATACACACCTGTGCTTTCCGTATGCCGTGGGATCAAAAATGGTGACTGTGTGAACCTCCCCCCCTCAACTCAGCTTCGTGTCTTCCTGCCTCGCAGCTGGTGCAATGTGAGTGTTCACCTAGCCAGGTGTGCAGGAACAGGCTGTCACCATGCACACGTCATGTAATCCCAAATTGTGTGGGGTGCTGTGCAGGATTCCAGAATCTGTTAGGTCTTTAGGAGAGGCCTCACTTCCCTCCACCCTGGAGTCTACACCAATTATGAAAACACATGCCCAGTAAATGTCTGATATATGCACATTTTATTTTTTTTAATATTTATTCGAAAGGCAGAGCAAGGTACACGTGCATGCACACACACAGATCTTTCATCTGCTGGCTCAGTCCACAAATGCCCACCATAGCATGGGCTGGGCCAGACTGCCAGGAGCCAAGAAATCCAGGAAATCTACCCAGGTGTCCCATATAGGTGGCAGGAACCCAAGTACTAGGGCCATCATCTGCTGCCTCCCAGGCGCATTAGCAGGAAGGTGGATCAGAAGTAGAGGTGGGACTCAATCCCAGGCAGTCCTACAAGGCATTCAGAAATCTCCAGTGGCAGTTCACACCTGCTGTGCCCCAATGCCTTCCCCTAAACACACACTTTATGAACCCAGATTCTGCCTGGGGGGATACAGCTATGTCCTGAGAACAAAAGGACTTATGGGTCAGCGCCGTGGCTCACTTGGTTAATCCTCCACCTGCAGTGCCGGCATCCCATATGAGCACCGGGTTCTAGTCCCGGTTGCTCCTTTTCCAGTCCAGCTCTCTGCTGTGGCCCAAGTGCTTGGGTGCCTACACCCGCGTCAGAGACCAGGAAGAAGTACCTGGCTCCTGGCTTCGGATCAGCATAGCTCCGGCTGTGGCATCCATTTGGGGGGTGAACCAGTGGAAGGAAGACCTTTCTCTGTCTCTCTCACTGTCTAACTCTATTTGTCAAATAAATAAAAAAAAAAAAAAAGTACTTGAGTGTGCATTCCCGAATCCTTTTGTCCCTTGGCATACATAACAGAGAACGAAGGGTCCAGGGGGTATGCTTGGGACAGGTTGTCATCTCTGTCACTGATTCTCTCTCAGACTGGGCCGGGGGCCGGAGATTTGGGGTTAGGGGGAAGGGAGTTGGTGAGCAGCCTCTGGGAATGCCTCAGAGGCTGACCAGGGAGGTGTTAGGCAGGTTCTGCCCAGCCTCACCATGTCCGGCTTTGTCTCCCTGCAGGCGTCCCATCGGGGCCCCGCAATGTCATCTCCATTGTCAACGAGACGTCCATCATTCTGGAGTGGCACCCTCCGAGGGAGACAGGGGGACGGGACGACGTGACCTACAACATCATCTGTAAAAAATGCCGGGCAGACCGCCGGAGCTGCTCACGCTGCGACGACAACGTGGAGTTTGTCCCCAGGCAGCTGGGCCTGACCGAGTGCCGAGTCTCCATCAGCAGCCTGTGGGCCCACACCCCCTACACCTTTGATATCCAGGCCATCAATGGGGTCTCCAGCAAGAGTCCCTTCCCCCCGCAACACGTCTCTGTCAATATCACGACAAACCAAGCTGGTAAGTCCGCAGGCTCCTTCTCTGTCTGGGCAGCTGGCTTGTTTGCCCATCTCTTTGTGGGGACCCGGCTGCAGTGACACCCATCCTGCCAGGCACCTTCAGGCCTCCCCCGGGGCGTGGAGGTGTCAAGAGCTGAGCATCTGTACTGTTTCACTCTTGAGAGTGAGCTGGAGGATGAGGGATTTTCTTGTGCTCCGTATAAACGCAAAGATGCGTAACGAAGCCACAATAGGACCTGGGGTTTTGCATCCTGCTGGGCTCTGGCACCTGCTGTTGGGAGGATGAATAGAGGGATGAGCAGACAAATGGGTGCATGGACAGATGGATAGGCAGTCAAATAAAGGATTGAGCAAGTGGATAGACGGATGTGTAGGTGGGCGGGCAGACAGATGAATGGACAAATGGATAGATGGGTGGCTAGGTAGATGGACAGATAAATGGGTGTGTGGGAGGTGAAAGCATTGCAAAGCCTTGAGAACAGGAATACCAATGATATTTTAATGGAAAACCCAAGAAACAAACTTCCCAGAAACCAGGGCATAAAGGCAGTATTGCCTTCATAGGTTGTTTCTCAGTTAAACTCATGTCATTCGCAAGGCCCTCGCCTTTGCAGCTTGCTCAGATGAATGTCACATTGTGAGAGACCTCACACAGGGGCACCAGAGGCCACCCAGGAGCCAGGCATCCTTGTAGCACCCCCAGCTAGGAACACATTTTCCCCTCTTCCCTGGATTTCCGCATCTCTCACTCTTCTGATCTTTTCTCCTTATTGCTTTTCACACCTCTTGCAACAAACCATTTCTTTTTATACACAATTTAACTAGTCACTTCGTGTACTCCTACACTCATTTATTTACTCATTCTTTATTAAGAGACAGTTATTTAGTGTCTACTGGATGCCAGATTGTGGGGTAGACACTGAGAGATTCGGTGATACCGAGACATGGTTGTTCTTCCTATGGAACTCACTCACTGACAAACCTCAGGCCCCAGACACAGAGCACAAAGCTGCCAGCGGTCTGGTCAGTGCACCTGCGGCGAGTATGGAAGGAGCTGCAGAGAAGCGAGCAGTCTGTCCCCTGGGAGATGGTACAGGGCTGCGGAGGGGACGTGAAGGTCACACCCACACACAACAGGGGTCCGAGGCAGTGGACCACGATCTTATTTGGAATTATAGATTTTTCCCAATCAACAGACTCTAGAAGGAAAACTTGTTAGTGGACCAGCAGGGGCCGAATGTGTCTCCTTGCTCGCCCTCCCTCTCTGAGCCTCCCCGTGTTGACCCTGCCTTTCTTACTCCATGCTTCTCCTCGCTTCCCCAGCCTCAGACTCGAGCTGCTTCTTTTAAGACCAGGCATCTCTGATGGCAGATGATTCTTGGGTTTAAGCTGTCAGAACTGAGAAGAAAAAAAGGTGTTGTAGGAGAGCATGCCCGTCCAGATGGCTGCCTTGCTGCTGCGTGTGTGTGTGTGTGTGTGTGTTCATGTGGCGTGTTTATATGTATGTGCATGGTCATGTGTTTACATGCATATGTGTACAGTGAGAAAATACGAATGGAAGTGTGGAAGGCTCCAGCTGGTGGCCATAGCCCGGGTGCCACGAGACAAAGGTTGTGATGGTCTCTCTTACCAGAACAAAAGAAACGGTCATTTCTGCATTACGTTGAGCATGTAACGTGGGCAGCCTTTGTTAGCAGTATTTCCCTTGGAGAGTTTAAGGCATAGAACTGGCTGAGAGATTTCAGTGTCCCAGCTTCTGGGAATAATAGTCCTGCCAGGCTGTCATGTTACGCTGGGCTTGGCTGTCTTTTCTCTCTCTCTAAGCATGTGCGAACAAACCTGCCACTTAGATCGCGTTGCTTTTCTTTCTTTCCCTCCCTTCGCTTACCCTGCTATTCCCAAACCTGCCCATCTGCTTGTCTTGCCATCTGCACCTTCCCAGGCTGCACTGGAGCTGAGGGATCGGGGCTCTCCTGCAAGGAGCATTCATCACATTCAAAATATTTATTTTTATCCTCACTCATTTGCTCCTCCACGACCACAAATCTCATAGACCTTGGTTCCCTTTGTCCCCTTCTTCTTACTCACCCCTCATTTTGTAGTCCCAGCCTCCATTCTCACCTTTCAATTTCTGATTTCTCTTTTAGAATTCAGGAATTTTGGTGTCAAAAAGTTTAGAATCGGTGAGAGAAGAGTGCACCTGCTTCTTGGTGGCACATGGTTATCATTGAACAAATATCAGGTTGACCAGTTGTTCCTCTTTTGTGGGCCATTGTGGTTTCTGTAGAACATTGTGCTGTCACCCAGGCTTGGTAAATTCACACATGAATGCAAATAGTTTGCAACCAAGAGTGGTTTTGTAAAAGGTGGGGAACATAAAAAGTCAACCTTTGAGGCTGTACCTCGACAAGGACAGTTTATAAACATGAACATAAGCTATGCATCTCACCATAGATAGAAGAGAGACTCAATACTAAATAGCAGGCAATGTGGAAACGCTAGAGACTCAGAGCCATCAAGGAAGGGGGGCAAGTGTCACCATTAGGTCGTGATGTGTCCAGCCCTGCTGGTGAGCCCTGAGCTCATCTGTTCTCAGTGAGACCCAGGTCAGCCTTGCTCCCCTGGTCTCAGGGCACGATGGGACATCCATCAGTGCGTGATAGCGAGTGAAGAATCTGAGTAAGAGCAGTCCTGGGGTCCACCCTGAAGTCAACTGCTCTGGTCGATTGAGTGCCTGCTGTGTCTGGAACTGTCCAAACTGTGAAATGGCTGGGGACCACCACGGGGGGTCCTGACTCTGCTGGGCAGTAACCATTACAGCCAACAGCAGCCCCTGCTGATGCATGTCTTTTGAATTCACAGAGAATTTTGGAATATGTGGAATTCTTGAGCCTCATAGCTACCCAGTGACTTGGAGTTTATCATCCCCAATTTTCAGATAGGGAAGTAGAGGCTTTGAGGGGTTTGGAGAATCCAAGATGGCTGGGATTAGGAGAGGGTCAGCAGGACATCAGCTCTGTTTTTGCCTCCTGGTAGCCTGTCCTAAAAGGGGACAGTCTCTCATGAATCTCCATTTCATGGTCTCCAACAAGAAGCTTGTCTTGGCTCCAAAGGCTGTAACCTGAGAAGCGGCCTTGGGGATGCTGTCACCATCCTTTGTGTCACTGGACATACAGCAGATACCTGTCTCCACTCAGAGGCAAGCTTGCTTGGGAAACACCTCCAAGTCCTCTGAGTCCATCATGACCCTGGTCACGTTCAAGGTCTTGTTGAAAGGTCTGCAGAAAAATAGAATCAAACCGATGGGTTTATTTTGGTGCAAAAAGAAAGTTGAGATGCAGACATAGTTTTTTTTTTTTCCCATGGTATACATTTTCATGAATTTTTTGAAGACCCCATATGCATGGATTTCAACATTTTTGCACCAAAAATAGACCATCATTTAATTCCATTCTCTGTGAACTTTTTTTTTAAAATGCTCTCTTATATATAGTCATGATTATTCAAAGGCCTTGTGTCACTGGGAGAGTTTCTGGACAGAATCCTTGCTTGGACTGTGGGCAGTGGCAGTTACCCACTGTTTCTTAGCACTTCCAGGGCGCCAACACCTACCAAGCTCTGTGCAGGCATGTGGGGAATCAGGTGAAGAAACCAGGGCCAGAGTTGCCTTTGTAGCTCACTCAGCACCTCCCAGGCAGCAAATGATGTTTCTGGGTTTCAAACGTGAGTTTATGGCCCTTTCATTCCCCAGACTGATCAAAAATCGCATTATGGTGGGCTCTGTAAGTCTTGAGCTCTCTCTAAGCTATTGCCATATAGCTGGGCCACTTAAACTGTCAGAAAAATGTCCATCATCTTTGGTCAGGGCTGGTCATGAATTATGCAAGCTCAGGCTCGCACGAGGTCTTTGGGGATGCCTGCCTCCCTGCACTGAATGCAGCTGCCATGAGTTTAAAATAGACCGGATGGGGTGGGAGTGTGCACCAGCAGCCCTGTGCTCTGTGGAGACGTTGTTACCACCACTAACTCCTGCGGTCGTTCTGGGGCAACCTGGCCTCAGATGCAGCCTGATGGCCACAGCACCAGGCTGTCAGAGAGAATGAGGTGAGTGACAAACTTCACTTCTCTCTCCTGCCACCCAGACTCGGAGTGTCAGAGCTGGGGAAGGAGACCTTAGAGGAAATCTTGGGGCAAACAAAGATGCATCAGCCCATCCCATGGATTTGGGACCCACTTAAGTCAGAGAGAATGAACTCAGAGGCCCATGGTACAAACCTAGGAAGTGGAGAGGTGCAAAGTAGGGCCATGGTAAGGCAATATGGGGTGGTGGAGACTGCGGGGAAGTAAATAGCACAGGCAAGCAGCCCTCGGCTCAGGAAGGGTTAGCACGTGCCGTGCTGCCTGACTTTAGAAGCTGAAAATCCAGATTTAAAATGCTGACAACTGATTGGAAAGTTTTTAGGCACTTGAGAGCCAAACAGATCTAATTCTGGATTTGGCCTGTTGGCTATGGTTTGCACCCTTTGACTCAGAGGGATGCTCAGACTTGCCCACACCTTCACGGTGTGTGTGCAATGTTGTCCTAGACTCTTCCCATCTTGGGGCAGGCGTCTTCCTCACCTCCAGGGTCCGTGGTAGCAGAGGTGCAGTGGGGATTCCTCTGCTTGGTTTCCCCTCTCCGCTCCTCATATGACTGCATTTAACTGCCAAGATCCCTCATTTCTTGCTGGCAAAATGGGAGTCATGCTAACTGCTTTCCAGGACTGTAGAGAATATAAAGTGAGACAGCGGATGCAGAATCACTTTTTCAATCATGCTGTGGACGAAGAGATTTGCATCATTTCTGAGAGTATGTCCTGAGCCAGAGAGCAATTTGTTGGACCTGCTCTCTCTAGGCTTTTCCTTCCAAAGCTTCCCAGTCTCTTTATTTGGGACCAGGACAGCTGATGTCCGTAACAGATATCCACTTGTCCATTCTGAGCCGGAGGAGTAGGCAATAGA